ATTTCTGTAGTTCTCGATTGCAGGAAGAAAAAAATTGTTCAACATATTGACGTAACGATCAGAGTTCACTGTTACAACGTTCCCAGCTTGGTTCTCAAAAAAATAAGGGCCGATTATCCCTAACGAAGAAACCGCACACCACACGGTTACTTTCTCTGAATGTAGGGGTCTTTCGTGTAATTCTTGAGGGTTATTGTCTGACCAATACCGAAAATTTTGTTTGTTGACGAAGCCAGTAAGATGAAAGTGGGCTTCATCGCTCATCCAAAGATTATGCAGTACGTTATCGTTTTCATTGATATGCTCTAACGTTTGTTCACAAAACCTTAATCGAGTAGCGTAATCTCGAACGTTGAGAGATTGCACAATCTGAATTTTATATGGATGGTGGTGAAGGTCTTTATGCAAAATTCTTCTTGTGGTGCTGTAGGTTAGTCCGAGATTTAAGCTTCGTCGTCGAACGGATCTTCGTGGACTCTCTTCCAATGAATTACGAACCGCTTGAATATTCTCTGGCAAACTTCCCGATCTCTAGATTCACAACGTTGACGACCCAAGCCCCCCTCCCATCTACTTTATCTGCAGTGGCGTTCCCAAATCATCCCGTTTCATTGACTCACCCAGTATTTACTAAATAATGCATTTTTGATGTGAGTTGATTTGCCATCGTATACGTATTTATGAGTATAGGTATTTACTGTATAAAATGTACATAAAAAAAAGTACGAGAAAGTTAACTTTCTCAACCTAGTCCGATAATTATTTATCTTTAAACTTCCTTTAATTATCAACTTTATTTTCTTATTGTATCAAAGGTAAGTTGATTTGATTGAATATTTACAAATTAATATTATTCTAATTGTTTATAAGTATATAAATTCGACCAATGTTTAAACAAGCTCCAGAGCTCTCCTAATTGACGGATTCGAATTTTTCTAAAAGCGTTTGAAAGCTTGAGAGCCCTTCTATATGTGATTAAATTTTCAAGTATCTAAGGGCCTTGGTTATTGCTGTGCAAAATTTTGAAAATTTGCAAAATTTTTTTCAAAATCCGGATTGCAAAATTATTATACAAAATCTATCGAACCGATTTTGATGAAATTTGGTGTGATGATTCTACATAACATGAGGTTTTCTTGAGGGTCCTGTACTCAATTTAAAGACCCCAAAAAAAAATCCCTAAAAAGTAATGTATTTTAACCCCATTTTGGCGATTTTTTCGATTTTTGCAATAATAATCATGATTCATTCGATTTGTAACTACTCATATTTTGTAGAAAATTTAATTACAAACTTTTTTTCCTCTTCCATTTTCGCCTAAAATCAACTCTTGAAAAGATACATAATTATAAATAGGAAGAAAAATATGACATTTTTCGAATTTATTTAACATATTGTGCCGCCAAAAGTTAAGCCCACGTTTTTTTATACGCATAGAAAAATTTTCATTTCTAGTGATATTTGAAAACTAAAAAGCCAAAAATCTCCGTGGATATACGATTCATCCAAATATAGACTTTTTGAAACAGATACCGTCTAGATTAATAGTGTTTGTTTATTATTAAGGAAGAAAATACTCGTCAGATACGCTTTGATCCTCAAAAGATTTTATTAAATAAAAAACGATCAAGGTTGTTGATACAACTCTCACTTCATTAATTCCGGCAAATTGCAAATTCGCATCGCACCTTCCCGCAAACGCATGCTTAATTTGCTCAGACATAATTAATAACCTGTACGAAAAACGCAGCGTCACGTCAAGCATATTTACCTTAAGGTTTTCCGCTTCTTTTGCTATATTCAACAAGTCTCTTGTCGCCCTAACATTGATATTAGTGGCTTCTCTTAAGGTCGCATCCAACTTGGTATTGGCTGCGCAGTGGAAAATAAATTCGACTTCCTTGATCAACGAGGCCTTGTCCAGCTCGCTTAGACCCAAATCTGGTTTTTCGCAGTCTCCCGCGATTAGGGATACCTTCTTGAAGAACTCCGGGTCAATTCTTCGCAAGGGATCGAAGGCCTGGCGAAGAAATACTTGTTAGGAAGTAACCTGTCTTTGTTTTCGTCAATGCAGTTTAAAATTTAACCAAACTGTTTCCAGTTTTAGTTCATTTCTGGATGTCGAACTTAAAATTTGTTGAAAATTTTAGAAACGGTTTGAGCATTTCTGCAAACTTGAACGTAAATTTTTGCCTTGCACTTACTGTCCCATCGAAGATGTTGGCGCATCTAGTTTCAGCGTCGACTCCATCTTTTTCCCTGATGAGTAGATAGACGTGTTTCACATGGCACTGCCTCAAAAGTTTCTCCAATACAAGTTTCCCCACGAATCCGGTAGCCCCGGTTAGGAAAACCGTGGAATTTTTGTAAAAATGCTGAATTTCACTGAACTGAACGCTGCCTTCCATCGTCGCTCATACTCTAGTTATTCTTTTAATGAATACTCATAATGTGTTTTACTTTATGCTAAAATCTATTATATGCATAAAACGTTAATTTTATGGAAATATACTGTGTGATACACAAGGTAGCCAACGGTCAAGTTAAGTATTTATTTCTTACTTTTTTATGATAATGTGAGATAATTAAGATTATGCCATCCTGTAATATTGCCTTTGTATGTAGATGTAGAATTAAATACGTACGAAACGACCTTGTTGACGATTTGAAAGTATTCAATTTTGGAATTAATTTGTAATTCATTGGGAAACAAGGATTTTTTAGTAATATAGATTGCACAGTTTGGATAAAAATGCCATTGGTATTCATTATCTGCAGAGATTAACACCTGTGACGATTAGAAAATTAATTTTATGACTCTTGAACTCCTTAACTGACTATTAATTATAAAGAAATTGATGCAGGATTATTATCCTCTCTTTTGAGATGGGGTGTTTTACACGGTGTGCAGGAAGCAAATTTTATTCAAACGAAAATGTCGAGAAAAACTGCTTATGCAGGGGACTTGCTATTTATAAATACATGCAGAATCTATAGTTTTTAAAATCTGATTAGATCATTTTAAGCTTTTTTGGTAAAAAATGTAAATACATAATAACAGTGATAATTGATCGTATGAGAATAATATAAAAATTATATTTGTGGGTAAATATGTATGTATATATATATATATAATATATAACTAGGCACACACATACTCACTTACCCACCCATACACATACATATATATATGTTTACATAAGCAAGTAGTTAATGGAAAAATTTAAATAAATACATAAATACATGTATGAAAATCATAAACCTTTAAATAAGATCCACTTCTTATTTGTGGAAGGGCGAAATGGGCGTTGACTATTAGACGCCTTCATTATAGCCATCCTTGTCTATCACATGGATTTATATGGCTTACTTTATCGCTCTCACATAACTTCTGATAGACCATCGGTACTTTCCTACACTGTAGGTGAAAAATGGTATCGGGAATTAAAAAAAGCATTTTGAAGCCCTAAGATTCTAGTTTTTAGATCTTTCGGTCGAAATTTTTTAACGGTTATAATGCAATTCTAAGAAATAGCGCAACAAAAATTTTGTAAATTTTCTTTTTTTTCCACGGACTTGGGGAAAAATTTTCTTCAACTTGTAGTATAACAACCCTAGGTTCGATAAAAAAATAATACAAACGTAGTTGTGGCCAAACATATGTGATCGGCATAAGGAATACCTACGTTGTNAAGGTCTAAATCAAAATATTTCTGGATTCAGTTTATTCAACTTAAAGAGTATCTATTAAAAATATGTAAAGGCTAATTTTGTTATAGAATGATATTATGTTCACTTAAAATATGCTTTAACATAAAGGAGACTTTAACTAAAGGATTTTTCCGTGACAGGTACGAAATTAAGCTTCAGTAAATGACCAATAAGTTTATTTACTCGTAGAACTCTAGACCTGTACATATACAGGGTAGGAAAGTACCGATGGTCTATCTGAAGTTACGTGAGAGCGATAAAGTAAGCCATAGAAATCCATGCGATAGAGAAGGATGGCTATAATGAAGGCCTCTCATAGTCACCGCCCGTTTCGCCCTTCCACAAATAAGATCCACTTCTTATTTGTGGAAGGGCGAAATGGGCGTTGACTATTAGACGCCTTCATTATAGCCATCCTTGTCTATCACATGGATTTCTATGGCTTACTTTATCGCTCTCACGTAACTTCTGATAGACCATCGGTACTTTCCTACACTGTAGGTGAAAAATGGTATCGGGAATTAAAAAAAGCATTTTGAAGCCCTAAGACTCTAGTTTTTAGATCTTTCGGTCGAAATTTTTTAACGGTTATAATGCAATTCTAAGAAATAGCGCAACAAAAATTTTGTAAATTTTCTTTTTTTTCCACGGACTTGGGGAAAAATTTTCTTCAACTTGTAGTATAACAACCCTAGGTTCGATAAAAAAATAATACAAACGTAGTTGTGGCCAAACATATGTGATCGTCATAAGGAATACCTACGTTGTGTACATATATTTTTTTATTGACCGGAAGGCGCTGGCTACTAA